CAGCCCGTCGCAGGGCCGCTAACTGAACACAGGAAAACACAAACACAGAATAAACGCATACGCACACCAAACATCAATGCTCTGAGTGGGATTCGAACGAGCGAAGACAGTTCATGACAGACCGCGCGGCCACTGTGACTGGCATATTATAGGTATCTTGAAATAAACCCTGAACGGCTCCTATCAAATACTTTTCTATTAAACACTCATTAAAATTATCTGATTCCATTCGAAGCTATATAGCCTACTGCTGCTAAATACCTGAAGAATTTACTGAACAGCCTGCTTCGTATTTTTAAGCCCTTCGTCCACGACTCAATTTAGTTCCTTGAGGTGGGGTGAGACAGAGTCCATTTGGTACGTCGACCTCTATTGGTCTATAGTACCAGCTCCGGATCACAGCTGAGTATGGAGCAGTCGGTGAAATGAGGATTGGCAGGGGAGACAGAAGTACTAGAAGAAAACCTACTCCAGTGCTAATTTGTCCACCACAAGTCCCAGGTGACATGACCTGGGATCGATCCTAGGCCGTCATGGTAGGAAGCCGGCGACTAACCGCCTGAGTTATGTATGGCCGTCCAAGCCTCAAACTGCGTACCGAGTGAATTCAGATGCTGTACCGCTATCTTAACCTGCCGGTCATGCCTTACACCGTCGTTAATGAACTGAAGCGAAACATGGCGCCTTTGATGTGGACCGCGCCACGCTATGTTGAGCGCACACCCACACCGCGCCTGTTTATTCCTAAGCAAATACTAGTAGTAGTAGTGTTCCACCTCTACCCTAGAAGCCACAGAAGTGGGGCACATAACTGGCTGCAACATGGAGGTGGTTCCTCAACAGATAAACCTTTCATTATAGCCTGAAAACCCAGCATCGTAGGAACTGGGGGTCTCCTTCTTCAACATCTTGCAAACTGCGGTCATGTTTATACGCGTGTTACAGAAGAATTGCGCCTGTGTTTGCAAACAGGGTCGGCTGTATAGCACGTGACAGAGGGGTTCCAGATAATTCATTCACTTAGAATCGGTTCAACGATGGAAGTAAGTCAAGACTGTCGGTACATACGTAAATAAGCGGCCTCCGTAGCCTAGAGGTTACGTTCCCACCTCATGACTCGTAGTACGCGGGTTCAAATACCCGACGGAGGTCGTCGAATTTTTAAGGGCGGAAAAATTCAGGGAACAAGTCCTCCGGGAGGGACTTTAAGCCATGGGTCCCGTGTCGTAGCTGTTCGGCACGTAAAAGAACCTCATATCTCCAAAGGAGGTCACTGAGCCAAATTACGGACGTTTCCCGCCCAACAGCAGTCTCTAATACCTCTGCTAGATGGGGGAAGCATCATAGATACCTCTCAGCTAGTAGAGCCGGTCTCGCTGGCTGGGCGGGACTGATGGTAAGCACCAGTACCGGTAGGATATAGAGACTGGTAGAAATCATAGAGGGAAGCACAATGGACCAATACAGGTCTAAGTGCATGGGGAAACCCACCCTCTCCAATAACTAACTAACATACGTAAATATATCAAAGCAAAATTTATAAATATTTTACTCTCACTCACTCACTCATGGAGCTCACCCTTCTTGAGAAGCCGCCAGTTGTGCAGCTGCTCAAGAATTTCCCAGCATTTTATGGAACCCAAAGGTTCATTACCGTGTTCACATGAGCACTCCACTGGTCCCTTTCCTGAGCTAGATGAATCCAATCCAAACCATCCTATCTCTCCAAGATACATTTTAATATTGTCCACCAACGTACATCTTGGTCTTCCAAGTGGTCTCTTTCCTTCTGGCTTTTCCACCAATATCCTATATGCATTCCTCTTCTCTCCCATTCGTGCTACATGCCCTGCCCACCTCATCCTCCTTGACTTGATCATTCTAATTATACTTGGAGAAGATTACCAGTTATGAAGCTCCTCATTATGCAGTATAAATATTTTACTATCTTGTAGAACGTGACAACATACATTTCCGTAGAACGTTACCAGCTTTTTGGGAGAACTAACTACCTCCTTCTTCAGAGAGGAAAGTGAAGTCTATAGTTGGATCAAGAGATAGTTTGGAGCCCGAACAGCCCTTTTCCAGGGTGAGGAATTTGTGGGTTTCTTGTACTTCAGCTCGTAGTGGTTTCAGATATGAGGGACCCGCTCCGGCTGTCTAGCACTGCATGCAGCTGCATCACCTCATACCAGAGCAAAGAATCGCTTCAGCGGAGCGCATTCATGTGTGGAGTATGACAGTTTTACAGTAGGCCGATGCTAGTAACAACTGAATTAACGAATTGTGAACGTAACTTGCAACATCTAAACACCAATCGCTGCTCTAATGACACTAAACAACTAAACTTCCTGGGAGGAAAGGGCGGCCGGCGCGTAAGGCTGGCAACCTCATTGCCACCTGTTAGCCTTCACGGACTGTTACCTTTTTATTTAAATAATTAATGTTTAAAATTAAATATATATCGTCCCCCCCCCCCTTCCACCAGAAAAGTTTACGTATTCCTGACGACCTGGATCTGAATTGATTGGTAATGTACATGGAGGAAGTAATACATCCATCTACTCTTGAATATCTCTATCAACAACAGACTTCTGTGTTGAAGGTTACGTAATTTTAGCACGTATTTCTTCCACAAGGATTTGATACATGTTGCACAATACGAAAGAAACGAGGAAACTGACTAGTATTTACAGTGCACAAACAGAGATCTCATGATGAATAGCACAAATCAACAAAGAAAATTTTTGTTGGATATGTATATTCTACTATGATCAAGTCAAGGAGGAAGAGGTGGGCAGGGCATGTAGCACGAATGGGGGGAGATGAGGAATGCATATAGGATATTGGTGGGATCGCCAGAAGGGTCTTCCACTGGGAAGACCAAGGAGTAGGTGGGTGGACAATATTAAAACGGATCTTAGAGAGCTAGGATTGGATGGATCTGGCTCAGGATAGGGACCAGTGGAGGGCTCTTGTGAACATGGTAATTGACCTTCGGGTTCCTTAAAATGCTGGGAAATTCGTGAGTAACTGCAGAATTGGCGGCTCATAAAGAAGGGCTCAACTCCATGAGTGAGTATGTAAGTAAGTAAGTAAGTAAGTAAGTAATGTATAAATACAAATATAAACCACTCCGTCCAATGTGACCTGTAAGTTTTTTACTACAAACTTAA